AGTTGCTGCTAACAGTCTGACAGTGGAAGGGCATCTGGCTTAAAACTACTGCAATAACAAGAAATATAATACGAGCATGGGAAAAGGGCAGGGCTGGTCCCCGGTTGTGTGTTTGTCCAGGGTAAAGTGGTTGACAGTTAAAGCTGCTAAATGCGCCGGAACAGGCCATGCTAACAGGCTACGCTAACAGTAATACGTCTTCTTTTATGCACACATCAGCGCGGCCGTTTGAACGCGCTGGTCTTTATGAACTGGACAAATATTCATATCCTGCGTAAACATTCTTCTACCGAGACGTCATTTAGTCCTGTGTAAAGTTCACCAACTGTCAGCGCCCTTTTTACAATTTTGTATTATTATTATGATTCAGAGTTCTATATTCTTCAGATTTTTATTTATTTTTTTTTACTTTTATTTGTACAAGTTGAGTTGTGTATGTATTCTGTTCATGCATGTTTGAGTAATCCTGTATACTTAGGCTGGGTCATGCTCCAGAGTTGAAAAAGCACCTTGTGACATCATAAGGTGGTCCTTAGGGTGACCAGATTTTCAAAATAAAAAACTGTGACATCCTTAGTTTATGTTGGTTGGTAATAATAAAATTGTGATCCTAGTGTGTAATTAAGGAAAATTATTATGCGCTCAACACTAATTTGAGTCAGTATATTTATTTTCTTTGTGTTTTGGTAATTTTTAATCAAATCAAATCAAACTTTATTTATAAAGCGCTTTTCATACAAAAACGTAACACAAAGTGCTTTACAGTGATTAAAAACAATCCCGCATTTCCATCCACCCACCCACTTATCCAACCCCACACCTGCCCAACTCCACACAACCAAACAACCCAGACACGCACACCCACTCGCACACACACACACACACACACACACACACACACACACACACACACACACACACACACACACACACACACACACACGCACACACGCCCTAAGATAGTAAAATACATAAAATCCCCTATAGTAAAATGTGAGGCTGAATACAGGCGAACCAGTTGAGAAAGCAGCTTTTCTGTATTTTACCTAAACAAATGACAATGTATGCCTCTCTTTACTGTTGGCAGGGATCAGATTGGTCAAAAATAGGGACACCAGGGACATTTCACTGATGCTGAATAAATCTGCTGGGATAGGGGACACAGGGCTCAAAACTTTGACTGTCTGATCACCCTAGTGTAAGTAGGGTTAGCCAGTATCCAAATTTTGATACTGTTAAACCTCAGGATTTTACCTGAGTTTACAGTATTGCCATATTACCAAAATGTTTTAGTACAACTTTGGTAAGCTACGAAGCCACACCGCTGTACGGTCTGTGTGTATGATCTGCAGATTTATAATCTCTGAAAAGTTTCACAAGAATCTCCAACGCGATACACGCACAGAACAGACTCACCATCAGCAGAACATCCTCTGTCACAGAAAGAACACATATATTTCACTGAGTTGTGTCCTTTAGTTAACAGTTTACAGACACTGAACTGCATCAGCGCACAAGGAAACAGCTGTTTTTATCAGCCTTTATAGTTTATGCAAATGAGCCATGTGGTTTTAAGTTTTGTTTCTGTAAAACATAAGCAAATGTTTTTGGGATCAACTCACTTGCAGCCGGACTTGCCATCTTGTCTTGGTCTCCCTTATGATTGTCACGTGTCAACAAAACGAAACTAATCCAACATTATCTCCACACGCAGTTAATAGAAACATTATAGACACTATTAGTTTTAAATTGTGTTAACATTAAATTGAAAATACAACCACACTTTCATTTGTGCTGAGCAAACAAATTTAGGTATCAATAAATTATAATATTATATTAGGTCCTATGTCCAGATTTTTTAAAATTATGGTAATGAAACTGATACTGTTGCTACTTTTTGATACCGCAGGATACCGTAATACTGTATTACCGTCCAACCCTACCAGGAAGTGAGGATCCATTAGAAGAAGTCATATTTGATTCAACTGTGATTACGGTTGTCAAAACTATCTCAAAACAGATCAGACAAATTCCAAAACTAGTATCGAAACTAGATACTCATCTGAACAAGTATCGATACAAAAAAGTGACATCCACAGAACAGAAATGAAGCTTTCCTGAATAGCTTTAGAACGATCTTGAGCTGCATCAGAGCAAGTATAAGAGCAGGTAAACTACTGTAGTATACACCCATGGACCACTATACCTGGAAAACTCAGATGACACAAATATAAGTACTATGATTTAATGTTCAAAATTTCATTCTATTGTCTAAAGAAATGTTTTATTTATTGTCGTTGTGGTATCAGAATCTGTTTAAGTATCGAGTCCTGGCCTGAAATTCTCCAAATGATTCTAGAAATGAACTATTTGGAGGACACAACATTATAACACAAATCAGAAACTAAATATGAACGGCTAAACTAATACAAGAATCGCATTTCAGAACGTGTTTGTACAGATCTAAACTACAGTGTGCAGCTCTACTGTAAACTGGAGTAATGTTTCTATCTAAACTATTGAAAGTACATAGTGTTGTGATTTGGGTAGACTTTGACATACCTCCATTAGAAACATGTCAGTACCTGCTTCGTACAGCGACTGCCTCTTTAAGATCTGATTGTGTGAATATAGACACGTTTCCCTTTGATGCGAGCAGCTTCTCTAACCGCAGTCATATTTGGCGCCAGGTTCTCAGGCTCCTCAGCTCCTGTCTGTATTTTACCCCCAAAGCTCGTCTAAGAATCAGAGTTTTACTGGGTTACACTAGTCTAAACGCTGCCATTTAAGGGTTATAACATTTTAATTGAGATAATTTCTAATCGTCGATCGGCTTGGGCCTTTTTAATGAACAGGTCTGCAGCCAATCCTCTTGACAAAAGCGTGTGGTTTGGAGCAAAGTTCAGACCTGGGGCAAGCAGATTAGACTTAATAGGAGTAATTAAAAGCTTGCATTGTTTATGTTATAGGAACTTAATATTATCATTTCATTTTAGAAGCCATAATGTAAAATCAAATTGAATTTAAAAAATCACAATCGATTTAATAAAAAAATTATAATTTGAGTTCCCTTTTGCGTTAAGATTATTAGTAACAGAGGTTTGAATGGTGGAAACTGGACAATCCTAAAGTTGGCCAAATTCAGTATATCCGGTCTCAGTGGGCTTATTCTGTATAAAACCTTCTAAACCTGTAGTTATGTTGCTCAGGTCGCCCTTGAAAAAAAGATTTGAAACTCAAGTTTTTTCACTTGGTTAAATAGAGGTATATAAAAATAAAATAAAATTTAAAAAGACCTCTACAAACATATATGAAATGTTTGGGATTCTTGTATTAGTATAGCAGTTCATTATTCAGGCTGACACCACCTAGTGCCTCCGCTCAATTTCATTTCTCTCCAGCGACTAGGTCACGAATCAAAATACAATAAACGGTTCGCAAAAAACCCAGAAGTGCAAGTTTGGGCACCTGCCAATAAGTGAAGAGTGATATATTCAGTGTTGTCGACGATTCCTGAGATTGAGGATTTAAAGCCGGAACAAAGAGAATGTTTGGTGAATTTTATCAAGGGGAAAGACGTTATTGTCCTTCTTCCTACAGGATTTGGGAAAAGCTTAATATACCTGTTAGCCCCGTTTGCAGTGCATTACATACGTGACAACCAAATAGCAAGGATTGGTTAAATGATAAACAGTACCTGCCTACCGTCGAGCGAACAAATTCTAACACTGCGAGGTCAGATGGTTTCTACGAAGTGAAACCAGCTGATAAATCAGGTTAGCAGTTCATATTTCCATTGTCAGAAAAATTGCAATTGTCCAGTAAATTTCTGTTTGAATTCTTAAACCTGAGATATTTGTGGTTGGAAAAGCTATCGACCAAAATCCCTCCATGGTCCACAGGGGAACAGTTGGCCCCTCTCTGCCCAGCCTTGGGCCCCTACACTTGGGGAAGGCCCCCCACCTGTCGCCCCGTAATGAGTGGGGTAGAACAGCTGTTCTGTCAACTCTGTCCTCGCATGCATTTAACTCAAGTGTACACAGTCTAATTACATCAACAGATTTGGAGAAAGGTCCGCAGTGGGAGGTGAGGTGGCACAGTGGTTTGTGTTCTAGTCTCATAACAAGAAGGTTTCTTGTTTGATTGGTTTTGTGCTGAATTTTCTCTTCTCATGTCTACAAAAAGTTTTTCCCAGTGTCCTATTTCAACTATTGCAATCTGATTAATCTTAGGATCTGGTAACCCAAGGTCAGGAGCTCATTCTGTAATTCAGTTGGATACAACTTCCTCCAGTCAGTGTTTGGGTGTATCGGAGTATAAATAGGGATGGTCGATATGCCGGTTCCAGTATCATTATCGGTGATATCGGAGGGCTTTCTCAAGTATTGATCTGATGTCTTGATAAACTATTTTTTATTCTGTTATTAGGTTCTTTTTTAAGACCAAGAGTTTGTTTTCATACCTGACAGTTTCATCTGCTCATTAGCTCACTCACGGCCTACCTCAGAGTGGTCAGGTGATGTTGCTGTGACGTGTCCGTTCAGCTGATTTAAACAGGTTTTGGCAGGTTAAATCAGCTGGACACATCACGGCAACATCACGTGACCACTCTGAGGAAGAGCGCTAGTGAGAAGTCGAAACTGTCAGGTATGAAAACAAACTCTTGGTTTGAAACAAGAACCTTAATAACATAAATTATCAGGAGATCAAATGAATCTCATTGAACTATTACACGCAAGTTTTTTTATTCTTTTCTAGAAATCATGGCCTAATATTATATTTTTGTGAATATGAATGACCGGGTTAAAAAAACGACAACAAAAGTGAAAAGTTAATATGTGAATATGTGTGTTTTACAATGGAGTTTAAAATCTTTATAATGGTATCAGCAATCATCGGTTATCGACCACCGCACCAAGACAAATATCAGGTCAAGAAATAAATATTCTTAAGGGCAGTCATGTTTTGTGTTGTCTCTAACACTGCGTCCCTCTCTGCAGGAGCCATCTTGGGCCGCTCAGAGACGCAGGAGTGTGCCTACTATAACTCGAGCTGGGAGAAGGAGCGCACCAACCGCAGCGGCATCGAGAACTGCTACGGAGACAAGGACAAGAGGCTGCACTGCTTTGCCACATGGAAGAACGTGTCCGGCAACGTGGAGGTGGTCAAGCAGGGCTGCTGGCTCGACGACGTCAACTGCTACGACAGGTGAGGGAGGAGGGGCAGGGTCAGATGAGGACAGGAGCCACAGCAAAAGGAAAGGGATTTGATTGTGACAAGGGTAAAGTAAGAGGTTATGTTTAGAACTTTTTGTTCATTTGTTTGTTGCACTAAAAACATGCTAAAGTGGGCGTTGTAAGCGTGTCTCTTGACATGTGGCATTTTGATTTTAAAAGGAATCACAGTATGTATTACTCCTGATGCTCCTGACTACAGGAGCCATAATGCTGCAAGTGTTGCGGCTTTGTAGTTTACTAAAGTCGTACTAAGAAACCCCAATAAATTCATATATAAGGCGCTTTGGATTATAAAGCCCACAGTCATTTTTTGATGAAATTAAAGTCTTTTAAGTGTGCCCTATAGTGCGGAAAATACGGTACTCTGAGTGGGCTCGTACAAACCACAGACCTGGGCTTCTTCCTTGTTGTTTCTCTATTTATAATCTTCCACAGTATGATTTCAACTTTCTACGTGGCACCTCCAGAAAGTTATTAGAACAACATTCCCATCACGCTTTTTTTTTTAAAATATAAATTTGCCTTATTTCAACAGAACTGCTACAAAATATGCTAGAAAATACGTTCCATTTGTTCAACCTTAATTGTTTTCTTTGTCAGTTCTTATTGTGTGACACAGCAATTTGTTACTGAAATATTTTAAAGATATTTTTTCTCGGTAAGTGGGTCAAATTTGATCAAAGTCAAAGTCAAATTTGAGTGACTTAACCTGTATTCATTCATATTTTAAGTTGCATTTGCTTTTATTTTAGACTCTTAAAGCTTTTTTTGAAGGTCAAATGGAACCCCTTTTAACATTATTTCCATTTAGTAGATTAAAAAAATATAGAGCTACAGTTTGTTTATACAGAAAATGCGCCAACTAAAGAAAATGTACTTCGATTCAGTGCAGACTTGATATTAGTATTTCAGGAGCAGTTCAATTCCGAACACAAAGCACTCGTATTACTGTCAGTACTGCATTTTCCTCACATTTTCCAACCTGATGTAGCGTTTCTCTTATTTCTCTGTACCTTATTTTACCTCGCCGTGTTGTTTACCGACTCTTTAACCTTCCAGTACGGAGTGTGTGGAGAAGAAGGAGAGCCCCGATGTCTTCTTCTGCTGCTGTGAGGGGAGCATGTGCAACGCGAAGTTCCTCTACGCTCCGGACGGGCCCCCTCAGAGCCAGACCCACCAGTCCACTGCTTACAGTGAGTACTTATACACAGAGTACTAGTAGACAGAGCTCTTATACACAGAGTACAGGGCAGGGAGCTCCTATGCAGAGTGTGACCGTGAAGGGAGTAACTATGAAAAAGAGAGTACTCACCAGCGGAGATGGAACCAATTCTTTGACCTCAAGTCCCAAGTCAAATACAGGCAAGTCCAAGTCAAGTCTCGAGTCACTGGCCCGAGTATTTATAGAGTTGTAGAAAATAATTTTGTTAATTTTTCTGTTTTAAATGTCCTGACAAGATCTTAGAGTGAATTGTTACAGTCAGAATAGAAAAAAATCTGATTTAAAAGTGCTTCTCAAGTCTTTTCAAGTCTTTGACCTCAAGTCCGAGTCAAGTCCCAAGTCAAAACAGGCAAGTCCAAGTCAAGTCTCGAGTCACTGACCCGTAAGTCCAAGTCAAGTCCAAGTCGTCTGCTTTGAACTTCAAGCCATTTCAAGTCTTTAAACCAAAAATGTTTGCCATTTTTATTACTTTTAAGATACTTAAAAATAATCATAGTATATTTATATATTTATTTATTTATTAATAGAGTATTTATAGAGTTGTGGAAAATAATATAGTTAGTTTTTCCTTTTTAAATGTCTTGACAAGATCTTAAAGTGAATTGTTACAGTCAGAATAAAAAGAATTCAGATTTAAAAGTGCTTCTCAAGTCTTTTCAAGTCACAGGCCTAAAGTCCCAAGTCAGAAACAGGCAAGTCCAAGTCGAGTCTCGAGTCACTGGCCCATAAGTCCAAGTCAAGTCCAAGTCATTTCAAGTTTTGAAACCAAAGTACCAAATGTTTGATTTTTTTTATTTTTGCTATTTTTATGATTTTTAAGATAAGTTGTACTTAAAGTTGTAGTATATTTATATATGAGTATTTATTTATATATTAAGAGTATATAAGAGTTGTAGAAAAAATATATATATATTTTTTTTTTCTTTTTAAATGTCTTGACAAGATCTTAGAGTGAATTATTACAGTCAGAATAAAATTAATTCAGAAGTTAAAAGTGCTTCTCAAGTCCCAAGTCTTTGACCTTCAAGTCCAAGTCGAGCCCCAAGTCTTAGTCCATTTTATCAAGTTAAGTCTCATGATCTAAAAATAGTGACTCAAGTCTGACTCGAGTCCAAGTCACGACTTGCAATTCCTCACCTCTGCTCACCATAGACCAGTGGTGGATGAAGTACTTAAGTAAAAGTAACGATGCCGGGGGGAAAGATAACTCAAGTAAAAGCATCACATGAAAAATCTACTCAAGTAAAAGTATTAAAGTACCTGTTTAAAAATGCACTTAAAGAGTAAAAAATGTAAAAAAAAAAAAAAAAATTGCAGAGTTTTGGAACAATTAAAGGTTCTAAAAATAAGTCTCAGGATTTACAGGTCAATTTTAAATACCCAAACTACTTTCACTAGCACGTACCTCCAATATAGTTACTACTACTAATACTGTACTACTATTTGATGTGTACTTTGCCGTGGTGTTCCAGCTGGGGAGAGGGGGGAGGGGCACAGAACAACCACTGCAGTGATGTGATGGGCAGGAGGAGGAGGAGAGGGGTCACTCGTAGTTCACCCACGGTTCACCCATAGTTCACTTATTTTTGGCCCGGGATTACATGATGTCACGAGACGCCTCGGTAATCCATGAGCCCAGAGTGTCAGAGGAGCGCCACACTGGAGGAACGGCTCAGATATTGAAAATGTACAAGTCCAGTTCAAAAAGTGTAGTCAGAAAAATGATAAAGTTAGTGAATGGGCATCAAAGGCTTAATTTGGAAAGATTTGCTGGAAAATGGGCATGTTTGAATTACAATTTGGATTTTTTTAAACATAGGAGTAGGTTTGTGCCAAATTTCATGTCAAAAATCTAAAGAATATATGTATAAATACTCAATGGTGACTTTTTTTTTATTTTCAATTTTCTCAATAATGATAATCAGGTTATATATTTGATTTGATTTGTTTTTTTTTATTTTGAGTTTGTGCTGAGAAAAAAAACATATACATACTACATATATATTGTAATTTATTCTCAGGAAGAAAAAACTTATATTAACCCACCCCTGTTCATTACATAGTTTAAAAAAAATCTAAAATTATGTGTCATTGATGATGAAACTTTACAAATATTTACATATAGCAAAAATATATTACATACTATGCATACTTAATATAATTTGAACTCAATTTCTTTCTTTTTTTGGGGGGGATTTTTGTATGGTTGCACAAACTACTAATGAAGAAGGCACAAAAGTTTATCGTTTATGATTATATCAAAATTTGCAATCAGAAATGTGTTTAAACATGCCAAAAAAAACAATCTTCTGTAAAACTGAACAAAGTTTCTGAAATATTACTTTAAACTTACACTGAACTTTTTACAATTTTCTCTGAGACAATCCAATCCAACTTTATTTGTATAGCACATTTTATGAACAAAACAGTTTTCAAAGTGCTTCACATAGCAATGCAATATTTTACTTAAAAAAAATCTGCAGAATTATGTTTCAACCATAAGGAAACTAAAAGAATAAATAAAATAATAATAATAAAATCAATGAACAAAAATAATAAAAGCAATACATAAAAGCAATACTAAAAAATAAAATAGATAAAAACAAAAATAAATAAATAAATAAAATAAAAGACACAGAGGACCACAAAACTCACGTGGCATTAAATTCCAGAGAATAAAAGTGGGTCTTAAGATGAGACTTAAAACTCTCCACTGTGGGGGCTGTATAATAAACAAACTCAAAATTTTAATTTTGCAAAAACATATTCTTGGCCCAGATAGCTTGAGTTTGCTGAATTAGGCAAATGTTGTGTAGCTGTTCCATTTTGTGTCTTATTTATTTCAAAAGCCTGTGAAATCAAAATGCAAAATCAAAGTGGTTGCACTAAGTTTTTCCTTTTATTTTAACAAACTGTGTTGTTGTTTGCATAACTGCGATTGCAAAACTCCACGCTGGTTTCTGAGTTGTGAAAAGTGCTCATAAACCCATCGTGGTGAATAATTACCATGCTCAAAATGCGTAAGATAAGTGAGGAATAACTTTGGACCACTGCAAACTCTTTGAAATGTCAGTGATCTAGTTTTTCCGACCGTAACAAGACTCATAGTTAGAGGTTTTATCTGAGTTCATCTGGTAGACAGTGTTTTGACGTTTTTTTTCTTCTCTCTCCTCAGCTACATCCAACCCTTTCCCCCCTAAGCCCCCCATCTTCAGCACCCTGCTCTACTCGCTGGTGCCCATCGTGGGGCTGGCGGCCGTGGTGCTTTTCTCCTTCTGGATGTGGAGGCATCAAACTGGCTTATCCCGCTGCCCTGGTGCCCACACATGTGAGTACAACTGCAGTCTGCTTAATTAATACTTTAACTCCTCACCTTTACTTGAACCCTTTAATTAAGTAGTCGCTATGTCTGGATTATTCTAACTATTTGTTCATTATGAATTGAGGTGTGTCTCTGCTTTATTAAGGCTCGAATGTAGGTGTGGTTATTGCAAAGTAGCACCAAAACATTTGACTATAACAGTCTCGGCACATGGGTATGGGGCTAGTTTCTTGTTTTTCATTCTGAACTATTTTGACTAAAGTTATTCAGGTATTTTTTCCCAAATAGTGAGTCTTGACTTGACCTTTTGAATTTTGGTGCAACATTTTTTGAGCTTTTTAACATGTTCCCCTCATCAAAAACATAACTGGACTTGTATTTTTTTGCTTCATCCATGCTCGTTTCATTAATTCATTAATCCAAAGAGCTCCCAAAAAGGCCCTGTTTACATATAGCCAATATTGTTGCATCACAGATAAATATCCGGACTTCTCCTGCTCAGTTTTTAAGCCCATAAGCCATCACCGGAGTCATTCCGCGGTCAAATTGAGTTCACAATGAACACATGGCTCTATTAGCGTAGCATTGACGGGGGGGGGGGGGGTTTGTTTACTTTCCCATTTTTCATTCCTGTTGCTGACAGAAGAGGGAGCTAACGCTTAAAAGCCCCATTTAGGAATAAAGTATATTTTCCAAGTGTAGACATTATTTTTTAAGTTAGAAAATGTGAAATACTAAAACACTTAAAGCCCAAGAAAACTTAATTCTTTAAACGATTGACTAACATCACAAATTGTATAGAGAGTAGGGATGTAACGATATCCAAGTCTCACGATACGATATCATCAAGGTTAGGGCTGGGTATCATTCAGAAGTTGCCGATACGATACATACCTCGATACACAGGCCACAATATGATATCTATCCCAATATAGTGCACTTTTGATTCGATACAATATATTTCCAATCGATTCAATACAGTTCAATAAAAAATAAAGGCTAAATCATGGCTGTGATACTAAAAGTCTTTGTTAAACCACTTCCTATGCAAAGTTAATCTTCAAAACAGTGAAAATTTAAAATTTGTGGCAAAAACGAGTTCCCTTTCTTTAAACGTGGAACAAAACTGGTGTTGTAACAAAATAATTTAGTAAAATATACCAAAAAATACTCTTGGCGATATATCAATAAAGCAGTCCTTGATATTGATATTGTATCATCACATTAAACGATACAATATATCAATATTTCGATATTTTTGCACACCCCTAATCACGGTACAATATCATTGGAAAGCTCACGATATGGTAAGGAGGCTCACGATTAGGAATGTTACAATATCCATGTCTCTCAGTACGATATTTTCACGATATACATCTCACGGTGCGATATTTTTTGCGATATTTTGCGGAGGCCAACAAAACTGTGAATGTGCACCTTTTTCCCTTTAAAATGCCTTGACAAGACTTAATCCAAAGAACTAAGACATAAAGGTGTTAGAACTGTTATTTCTTCTTGTAGTCTGCACTGAAATGGAGCAAAGGATCATGGTCTATGTAGTTCTCTCTGGTTTTTTAGCTATTGCTGCACCATAACTCTTTAATTTAAGCAAAGAGACTTGTAATTTGATATATTGTGATATCCACGATATTGTGAGATCTTTGACGATACAATATCACAATATTTCAGTTATTGTTAATACAGAGGAATCATTTTGAATATTGGGCTGCTTTTGGTGGGTAACTTTTGTACTTCCTGTGTCTTCTCAAGCACGCCTTTCACATAATGGTGGAGGTAAGGTTCTCTTCGCTACAGCCCCTCTTTGGTTCAGAGCTTGTCCACTCCGGTCCAGTGCTTGTTTTTGTTTTTCGGTGCCTGGTTACACATTTATATATATATATTTATATCTATATATTTGCATGGTTGGGTCTGTCGATGTCCTCTTTGCATGACGAAAGCAGCACCTCCCCTCCCCCCCCTCGTCCTCCACCCGAACATTTGACGGTGTCTGTGCTGTGTCATGTGGCGGAGCACCTGACCCCACCCTCTCCCAAGCCTGCCCCCCCACCCCACCTACCTACTCCCCCAACACCAAAAATGTGGTAGTTTCTATTAGACATGGTATTGTTGTCCATTTTTTGAGTGTTGTCAGAAAAATCAATACAAAAAAAAAGACTCATATCAAGATAAAAAGTCATACGAACGGTTCCAGGAAAAGTTTCATCACATTTTACACTTCCTGAAAAACAGAGAAAATCACTGGCCTATTTCCCGACATAGAAAATTTGAAAGGTCAAATCCAAATCAAGTCCTGGTGAAAATATTTTGTCCTTGAAAACATATCCATCCTTTGTTTTGTTGTATTATTATTGGATTGTCATCAGCATAATAAATACAGGCTTCCAGCAGAAAAAAAGCTCTAAAATCCACAAAAATGTGGGAAATGGCACCAAATTTGGACAGAATTTCTCGGGGGAGGACCTTAAAACCCCCTTTTCCATTTTATTTTGCCTACTGTGACCTTGGATTTTTAGAGGACGCCCTTTCCGGTCTGAGCTCAGCTTTAACCTAATGTAGCATCAACAAAAATGAGTACCGTATTTTCCGGACTATAAGTCGCATCATCCAAAAAATGCGCAATGAAGAAGAAAAAAACATATATAAGTTGCACTTTTGGGGGAAATGTATTTTGTAAAATCAAAGACCAGGAATCAACATTTCATCTTGAAAAAGGCAAGTTACAGTAATAAAAATAGAATAGAGAGCAACAGACTGAATAGGCGTTAATATGTTAATGTAACATATGAACAGTTCTTCAGATAATTATAGCATAAACAACATAAAATAAGTTTACCAAACTCTCCATCTCACAAATCACTAAATCCATTGAATTCTTCATCTTCAGTCTCACTTCTGTGCTACCTCCAGAGATAAACCGTACGGAGCACCGCTTCCTCTTCTGTGTAGCTGTCGTCAGACTCAGCATCAGCTCCAGTTAGAATTATTCCAGCCTTTCTGAATCCCGACAGGATGGTTTCAATTGTCATTGAAGTCCAGGCTTTGTTGATCCATCCAGTGACTTCTAGGAAAGTTACATGGCACACCCACCCGGTCGCTGTTTTCTCCATCCCCGCTTTCCGCCAGTCAATCACAAGTTTCTCATTCACTCCAACCTTTCTTTCTGGTGCTTGATTAATGAATATTTCACTATTTGCAGCGAGACAGCGGCTTTTTCTACAGGAGGCATGCACAGTAGAGTGCAAAGTGACAGTGGCACAGGAGTAAAAGTAGCACTAGATACTGACACACAAGCCTAGAGCTCCCTCTCATGGCTGGCAGTGTGAAAATTTAAAAATATAAGTCAGAGTATAAGTCACAGGAAACACCCAAACCATGAAAAAAAGTGCAACTTATAGTTCAAAAAATAAGGTAATCAACACGAGATGCAACTGAAAACACGGATTCTTACTTTGAACGGGGTCACCTTTCCACTGATCTAACCTATAACTCGGTCTGCTTCTTGGAGATAGAGGAGTTAAACTGTAGAAATAACATCTCAGTTTACAGTGTCTGACTTTAAGAACTGAAGTGTTACTTGGTGGTGGTTTAAGTCATGTAATATGGAAGAGGAATGATAAATTGCGTTGGGGAAAGTGTATGATTTGGCGTGTCCCGTGGGTGGTGCAGGAGGTGGGGTGGTGGGGTGGTGGGGTGTGGAGGTGTAACCAGACTCGGGCAGGGCACCAGGGCAGAGACCAGAGCGCTGTGGGCTGTGGCCTCCTGTTTCCTGTGCTCTGCTGACTCAGGGTAATGTGTCCCCTCCCTTTGTCACTCTCCACCTCCCTCTGTCTCTCTCTCCATCTCTCTGCCTCTCTCTCTTCCTTCTCTCTCTCTCACCTTTTCTTTCCCCCTTTGTCTTTCTGTCTCTCCCTCCATCCCTCTGTCTTTCTCTCCCTCTGCCCCCCCCTCGCCTTTTCTCTTTCCTCCTGTCTCTCTCTCCATCCCTCTATCTCCCTTTTGCTCTCTCTGCCTCTCTCTCCCTTCCTGTTACTCTCCACCTCCCTCCGTCTCTCTCTCCATCTCTGTCTCTCTCTTCCTTTGTCTCTCTCTGTCTGCTCTCTCGCATTTTATCTCTCCCTCCCTTTTCCTTTCTCTTCCTCTGTCTCTCTCTCTCTGTCTCTCCATCTCTTCCGTTGTCTCTCCCCCTCTCTGCTCTCTCGCCTTTTCTTTTTCCCTCTGTCTCTCTCTCCTTCCATCCCTCTATCTTCCTCTCTCTCCCTGCTTGTCACTTTCCCCCCTCTCTCTGTCTCTCCGTCTCTCTCTTCTCTTCTCTCTGTCAGTCTCCATCTCTCTCCCCCAATCCCTCTATCATCCTCTTTTCTTCTCAATTCCTGTCAATCTCTCCATCCCCCTCTCTCTGTCTCTCTCTCCATCTCTTTGTCTTTCTCACTTTTTCTCTCTCCCGCCATCCCTCTATCTCCCTTTTGCTCTCTCTGCCTCTCTCTCTCTTCCTCTTCTTCTTCCTCCGTCTCTCTGTCTCTCTCTTCCTCTCTCTCTTTCCCCTCTCTCTCGCCTTTTCTTTCTCGCTCTTGCTTCTTTCTCCCTCCATCCCTCTACCTCTTTCTGCCTCTCCCTTCCTGTCACTCGCACTCCTCTCTCTCTTTCACAACCTCCCTCCCTCTGTCCCTCACTACCTCCACCCCCCCTCCATCCCTCCGTCTCTCTGTCTGTTCCTCTCTCTGACTCTCCTCACTCCTTCTGTCGCTCTCACTTCACTCTTTCCTTTTCTCTCTTCTTCTGTTACTGTCTCGCTTTTCCCCTCTCCATCTCTCTCTCCTTCCCTCTGTCACTTTCTCACCCTTTCCTGCTCTCCCTCCTCAATTCCTCCTCAATCGCCGAACCCACTCTCTCCCATCCCTCTGTCTCTCTTCCTCCTTCTGTCACTTCCTCCCTCTGAGTCTCACCACCAGGGGACAAGTATCCAGTGTCTCCCCTGGGACAGTCTCACCACAGAGGGACAGAGGGACAGAGGGACAAGAGGGACAGAGAGACAGAGGAGCAGAGAGAAAGAGGGACAGAGGGACAGAGCAAAAGAAAGACAGAGAGACAAAGGAGCAGTCAAACATGAAAAGACCATAATACTAATTTTAAAAAAAACTGTGCAATAAACTAGAGTGTTGACGAGTATTTAACAAAAAATTTAAAAAAAGTTTCAAAATTAAAGTTAACAAGATCAAACCAAGTAAATTTTTATACATATATATATATAAAAAATATATATATATTTTTTAACTACACAACTTTTCCTGCTGTGAATGAACAAAATGGGAACGAATGAGTTGTCAGTTCGAATCCTTACAAGAGCTCGTACTGTCATTGTGTCTCTGAGCCAGACACTTCATCCCCACTGTCACACTGTCACATGAAATCAGGGCATCTGGCTTAAAACTCCGCAACCCACTCCCTGCACAATAGATAGATGGATGACGGAATAAATAGTTGGATAGATTGATAGATTTATTGATAAGTAATATATTTAGAAACAAATAAAATACATGAAAAAAATTACTATAATAAATAAAATAATAAATATTAAATAATAAATAATAATAAAAAATAAAATAATAAATATATAAATAATAAATAATAAAAAATATAAAAATAATAAATACAAGAATTTAAAAAATAAAATCTTCAGTTCAAAAATTGTGTATTTAGAAAAATTGACACCAGCCACAGCTCGTTCTATAAATATGACCTTTCTTATCTTTTAAAATAGTCTTGGAAAATCAGATGAATGAGAGAAGAGTGGAGCTGTTCAGGGATGAATCAGGCGTATTTCAGGACATTTAGCGCGGCCCTGTTTATTGAGGAAATGTCGCGTTGACCTACGAGCGGAGTCGGAGGGCGCTCTTGTCGCACTGTCAAGCTTTTCATTCATAAAACCTTCTCCGCTGCGTTGTTTTTAACATTATAGTAAATTAAAATGAAAATAATCAAATTCAACTTTATATATCGTTGATTAAGTTGATTTTTTAAAATTTGTTCTTTACTGTAGAAGAACATCATTACACATTCTAGTCTTCAGTATTGCATCTTTCTCTCTTCTCGATGTGTGTCCCTCTTCTCTGTTTTTGTTCTCTTTTCTTCTCTCGCTACCACCTCCTGTCTTCTCTTGTTCATCTCCTTCCACTTCCTTACACCTCGCTCTCTCTTACTTTTGCCCCCCTCCTCTCCTCTCTATTCTCTCTCCCCTTCTCTCGCTTTTCTTCTTCTCACCTTCCTCCTTTCCTCCTCTATCTATCTCCCCTCCTCCTCCTCCTCCCTCTCTCCTCTTCTCATGTGAGTTGAAAACTGATCGGTGTAATCCTCCGCAGCCGGGGTTAACCTACTTCACTTCGACCTCACGTTAGCAGCGCCCCCTCCCCCACCACACACACACACACACACACACACACACGAGTACACAGACACACGCGACGTGCGACTCACCACGCAGTACTACATTTCCACGTTTTTGTTCCATTTCTTTTGCGTTGTTTAAGTTTGTTTTTCCACTGCTAAAGAACTTCTATGGTTTAGTATCATTCATGTTTCTAAAAAAGACCCAAGGTTATTGACTAATCGGGTTAACAATTTATTTATTTTAATTTTTTTTAGTAGTCGATTAGTCAGCTGTACATTTATTCAATAGTTAACTAGTCAGACGTTATTTTAGAATACAGTTTGAATTTTTAAAAACCACACCATGTCATTTTGTGGAGGTGGTGACCTGCTTGATTCCATGGAAATAGAAGTTAAAACCACATTTCGGAACATTCTCCACGGAGATAGATTTTAGTTTTATGCCGTACTGTGGAATATTCTTAGTCAGGCTGGTGCCACCTAGTGCCTCCCCTCAATTTCATTTCTCTCTGGCGACTAGATTAGGAATCAGAATATACTAGTCCAGGCATGTCCAAACTATGGCCCGTGGACCAAATGCAGCCCTCAGACAAATTTTTCTTGGCCCTCTGGCTTCCAGGTGAATTGGCCCAAATTACCTTGCAAATGACCCTTTTATTGCAAGGTTTTTGAAAATCTACCTGGATAAAGCTAATATTTAATATTTAGTGTGTGGTTTTAAGGATCTTAACGTGAATAAAGACTGATGGCTCATTCTAACGTGTTAAACATGCACATATTTTAATTATTCACTGTACTGAGCACCAGTCTACAGCCCTCGATCGGCCCTCTGCTTCGTCTTTGTTTAGATATGTGGCCCTTGATGAAAAAAGTTTGGGCATCCCTGCACTAGACGGTTCGCAAAAACCCCGGAAGTGCAATTTCAGGTACCAGCCAATCAGCAAAGAGCCATACATTCTGTGTTGGCAACAATTCCCGAGATTGAGGATTTAAATCCGGAGCAAAGAGAAGGTTTGTTGAATTTTATCAAGGGGAAAGACGTTATTGTCCTTCTTCCTACAGGATTTGGGAAAAGCTTAATATACCAGTTAGTCCCGTTAGTGGAGCATTACATACGTCACAACCAAATGGCAGCGATTGGTTAAATAAAAAAAGTTCCCGCCTGCCTTCGAGTGAACAAATTCTAATGCTGCGAGGTCAGACGGTTTCCAAGAAGTGAAACAGTCTAGCCAAAGGAACAACATTTCCATGGAGTCAAGCAGCCAAATAAGAGTCAGGCTTGTGGAGACACAAACTTGCTCACAGTAAGGAGTTTTTCAGCGCAATAAACATAACCAAAATGAAATTTAAAAAAGCTTTTATTTGAGTCTATATTTTGGCTAAAAAGTTGTATATGTTGTGACTTTAAGCACAATATATGAAAATTGTTTATTCTTTTTGGACATTTTGGTTAAAAAAATACCATCTTCTTTGTTATAAATATCTTCTGGTATGTGTTTTAGACTGTTTTGCATATTATCCAAATGTTAATTATCAAAATACAGTTACGATTACAGTATGTGATTGATCGACTAGTCACAGTTATTCATGAATGATTACAGCTCTAACCACACTCCCGTTTTCTATAAATGCTATTGAAAACCAAATGATGAATGCATCAACATGGACAATGTTATTACATTTCGCAACATCAACAACCTCACTCAAATTATCGCGTACTTGTTTTGTAAGTTCCTGCTTTTAAAATGCATCGCTTGCTTCTGGCGTCATGGATGGGAAATTGATTCATCCAGCGTGAAGAAGTGTTGAAATATGACAATAATACCGACATTAGAAATTTCAAAATGATAAAAATGAACAGTTCACACCAATCCACAGAAGTTATTTGATATTCGGAGCTGTACTGGGGTGGTGCACAGGTGTCTCTAGCATGTCTGTTTCTTCATTGATCTAATTTACAACCCCCCCTCTCGCTTTTTTCCCCTCTGTCTCCTCAGGACCCCGGCCCCTCCCCTCCATCCCCCACGCTGGGACACAAGCCGCTGCAGCTCATCGAGGTCAAAGCCAGGGGGCGCTTCGGCTGCGTGTGGAAAGCCCAACTGCTCAACGATTACGTGGCGGTCAAGATCTTCCCAATACAGGTACAGAAGAGTCACTGGGATTAATATTATAAGAGTCTGTAATCATTTTTTTTTTCTTGTTGAACTGAGACTGAAAAGAGACAAACAATTTTAAAATGTGTGAACGCATCTTATAACTCAGTTTTAAAGATTCTGACTACCAAGGGTGTAACGGTACACAAGAATCATGGTTCCTCAAAATCAAGGTACGTACCTTGATTTTGAGGTCACGTTTCAGTTCATTTTCAGTACAGTACAAAACCATTTGCTTGTTGTTTTTTTTTGTGTGTGTTTATTAAAGCAACAATTAGTTTTAACATTATACAAACAGGAAAATAAAATAAATGCAAAGTGCTGCTTGATAATACTAATAAGTTAAATAAAATATTCTCAAATAAGCTACGATTGTATGAAATATTATAAAAAATAAATTCCCTGTAAACAGTAAACAAAACTTTTAAAGCTCAGCACAACAGTTCCAGGATAAATTTTTTACTCAGTCTTCATATGTTTGTCAAAAAAAAACAACAACTTGTCCACATTAAGGAATTAAGTCCTGATGAAGACCAGTTTGGTTGAAACATGTCGGCTTTGGCCATTTAAATAAAGGCTTTTTAACTATATTTTTCCTCGTGCGATTTTTACTTCTTTGGAGTGCCTGAAGTCCGTTGTGTTTTAGTTTTGATTCTTTTTCCAAGAACATCCCAAATTGCACAAACTCACTCATGCACAGCCCTGCACCGAACCGAACTGCCCTTACCAAAACAGTTCGGCATGAATACATGTACCGTTACACCCCTCCTGACTACTGATGAAGGCTACTGGTGTTTTTTTTCTCCAAACTGACACCAAGTACTACTGTAGTACTACATCAGCTCTCCAGATATCACTACCAGTCAATAAAGAATATTTACTTTTTGAGGCATGTCATTATTTTCAATCTACTCATGCTTATACTGATCTAAAAAAGTAAGATATACATGCAGATAAACTAAAATACAAACCGCACTTTTAAATTTGATTAAAATTTGATTACAAAACTTTTAGTTTGTTTGTTTTTGAAGGAATTTTAAGAATTACCTTATATACCTTATATTTTGGTATTTGGTATGGTATTTGCTCATCACTAATCCTGACCAAAAAATGCTGTGTATTTTAATTTAATTTATTTTATTTTGACAAATAGGAAGGAAAAATGTAGGGAAAATACTATAAATATATCCTTTGGTGTTGAAGAGAAAGCGGAATGAATTAGTATTAGTAAGAGACGTCTGTAAAACTGTAAACTGTTTCAGTCCGTCAGTCAAACTTATAAACTGTATTTTCCCACGTAAAGTACCTGCTGCTGTAATGATGTCCTATAAAATGAGTTCTTTTGAAGTGATGTCATTTACAGCCTTATTATTCCCAGTCAGTCGGGTTACAGAGTTCTTCCTTGTTGTTCCAGGACAAGCTGTCATGGCAGAATGAGTATGAGATCTACAGCCTGAGTGGGATGAAGCACGAGAACCTGCTGCACTTCATCGGAGTGGAGAAGAGGAACCACAACCTGGACCTGGAGCTGTGGCTCATCACCGCCTACCACGACAAGGTACACGCACGCTTTTAGTGAAAATCTGTAGAACTATGCAGCGATTATGTCATCAAATCTCAGACTTTTCAGATGGCCTAATGTTACACCAGTGGAGACGACATCATCTGATATGTTTTTCAGTAATGACCCAGCATCTTATCAGATTGTTCCACAGCTCTTTTTACATTGTTTTTTTGTTAATGCATCTCCCTGGACATTCTGCATGCTTGTGCACAAATATGTAACGGTTGCCATGGTTGCTTTTTTTAAATGAGATTTCATGAACAGTGAGGAGCATGCATCTCAAACATGTAAAGGCTGCCAGTTTTAATCATTGGCAAAAATGACACCCAGGACACAAATGGATTCTAAAGCCAATATACTAAACAAAATAACTTGATACTAGGGCTGTGCAGAAAGATCTAAATATCAATATATTGTATAGTTTAATGTGATGATACAGTATCGATATTTTGGGTGTTTTGGTATATTTTACAATTTATTTTTTACAGTTTGTTTAGAGCAGGGGTGTCAAACTCAAATTCACAGAGCAGCCAAAATTAAAAACTGAGACAAACTAAATATTTATTGAAAAATTTCAACAACATCTGCCTGTTTTCTCTTCTTTCGAGATATGTAATGTTAAACCTTTTCATATTAAAATAAATGTTTAATAATAGTTTTGCTTAAACATTGAATCCAGAACAAGCAGAATATAAAGTATTAACAACATTTTAAATAAATAATGTCTCTATAGTCTATCTGTAGCCAGTGGGCAGCTCTAATACATATTGGAGATGATCTCGCAGGACAAATATAATTATATCGCTGGCCAAAATTGGTCTCCGAGACTGAGTTTGACATGTCTGGTTTAGAGGAAGGAAACTCATTTATGCAACACATTTGATATTTTCACTTTTTGATGATTAAAATGGGTGTGTTTCATATTAACTTTGCACAAGAAGTCGTTTAACAAAGACTTTTAGTATCGCAGCCATGATTTATTTTTATTGAACTGTATCGAATCAATTTGAAATATACTGTATTGGATCAAAAGCTTTTACTGTATCATATTGTGGTCTATGTATCGAAATATGTTTATCGGCAACTTCTTAATGATACCCAGCCCTTCTTGACACAGATTTGAGTAATTATTAATATTGAAAACATATTTATATCCTAACTCCAAGCAGAAAAACATGGCAATATCAGTCATATTAAAGTAACTGCTACTTTAACTTTGTGTTAAATTGTATTTTACTGGCTAGAAAAGGGTTCAAATCTGAAATTGGAGTTGAAAGTTTGTCATTTTAGTATTGTAACAACACTGTTCATTGTTGGTGACTGAGTTAATTTGAATCTATTCGATTAATCCATTTGTAATCATCCACATTAGAAACCTAAAAGCTGAAAAGGCCAATAGAAGCTCTCTCTGTGTACATATGTAGGATTGCACTGCCCTCTGGTGGTTGCTTCGTGGTACTGCACGTGTCCTACATAGTGTAACTGTGACCTGCTTTCAAGTGTGCATGTTTTATGTAAGAGGGGGGACAGGCTGATGCAACACGCACATGAATACTGAAACTTTGGATATTTTTATGTGAAACGGTTCATAAAAATAGTTTTGAAATGATGTCTTATTCATCATAGTCTTTCAGAGTGCAAGACTTTTGACTGTAATATCGTAATTAGGGCTGCACAGAATTGGAAAATGTGCGGTATGGCTGCAATATTGATATTATTACAATATTTTAAAATGCATTCTTTTCAGTTACAATAAAACAAAACAATGCATGCTTTAATTTACTAGTGGAATTCTGTCAAAATAAAAAATTGAACAGAGATGAAAGCAGGACTAAATGATCAAGTCTGTGATGGTGCTCTAAAGTGGCAGTGGCTTTGCACCGGAAAGTGCAAAAAGAGGAAAGACTCGGAATCTTAACAGGGCAGCCACGGGGTCTTAAAAGTCTTAAAAAGGTCTTAAATTTCATGTTCCTAATTTAAGGCCTTAAAAAGTCTTAAATTATGTTGTCCACGTCTTATTTTTTCACAAAGGTCTTATATTTCATTAGTTTATTTTTTGTATACTCAAATGGGCTGCAGGGCAATGTTAAATGGAGGGAGGGAAAAAAAACAACATCAACGTGAAATCATGTATCGTGAATGAACGTCTAATTTGGAGTATGTGCAAACAATACTTTGTTTGTCTTGTTAGAATGTTATAAATGATTTGTTTGGCCATTTTACAAGCAATGCATACAACTATAAATGAGTTATTTAAAGCGATGAGTAATGGTCATTATTAGAATTGGATCTAGCGTTTTTCCTCCTACATAATGGGTGTGATGTTGGTCATAATTTTCATTTAAGTGGTCTTAAAAAGGTCTTAAAAGTCTTAAATTTGGGGTTGTCAAACCTGGGGATATCCTGCTTAAACTTGTAAATGCATTGTTTTTGGTGAATCTAGCATTTTCAAAACAATGAAAAGGTAACATGATGATCTAAATATATTATATGTTTGCTGTTAATACCCCACAGAAATAAAATACCCCCTCTTTAACATCTTCTTTTTAAAGATGGAGAACCTTGTTGTTATTGCGATTTATTTTGCAATATTCATCATTTCGTCTGCATCTTTCGTCCTTTTGCGATATATTGTGCAGCCCCAATTATGATGTACTAAATATTATGATGAACATTTATGATATAAATAATGGTCAAACTTTTTATTGTGACACAACTGTATTGTAAATAGATTCTCACATGATTCTCTGTGTTTCCAGGGCTCTCTGACAGACTACCTGAAGGCTAACGTGGTCTCCTGGACTGAGCTGTGTCACATCGCTCAGACTGCGGCGCGAGGTCTGGCCTATCTGCACGAGGACGTCCCAGGACACCGCGATGGACACAAACCCTCTATTGCACACAGGTCGGGCCCACCAACCCATAATTCATCTGAGAGCAGTAAATATCATTTCAGCTTAAAGGTTGCATGGAGGATTTTTTTTGGTTTCAAATTGTCAATGATTAATGATAATGAGCATTATAGAGATGCAGTAGCCTTGTAATTATGATGACCAAAAAAAAGAGAATAAAAATTCATCAACTCTGGACGTGGTGGGGACAGATAAACATTTGCCAATAGATAACGACACTGCCTCGTTATCTGTTTGCTGACAGGCTGTCAATCAATCTCCCTACGTTTCTAGCGTAACTGACTTGCCTGCGCCGCCGGTACGTGGTTTACGTACGACTGTCACACAGTCCACAGACGCAAGACGCACAGACGCTGTTTACTCCACCAACGCAACAGTTCTTAGCGGCTTTTTTTTTACCTATATCTTCCTCGCAGTTCGCACAAAGTTTGTTGCAATGGCGACAAGAATCCAGGAGCAGTTAGCCACAAAAGAAAGTCCGTTTTTGAGGTCGCTGAAAGAAGAAGACAAGGGGAAAAGCAGCGAAGCCAAACTAAGGTGATTCTTGGAGATTCATTCCAGCGATGGCGCGACTGAAGCAGACGCAGGGTCTAAAGACTGACGCACTGGTCCACAAATTACTCCTGGACAGGAAACTTCTGCTTATTATGAAAACGTACTTTATTTCCAAGAGCTAGTCAAACGTTTTTCAGGACACAAAAGCGATATCCTATGTCTGAAAACGTAATTTTCAATGCAAAGAAAGAGTCCGCTTGCTGCTGCGTGTTGTAGCTAGTTCATTCGCACTGAATCTCCGCGCAACCTTCTCTGCACCCCTTTCCTGCTCCTGTCCCCGCTGCCCGTTCCGCTCTTCTCCCTGCTCCTCACTTCTCCGGGCACGGAATCTCCGCGCACCGCTCCCCCTCTCCTCTCTCCTCTCCTCTCTCCCTGCTCCGCTCTTCTCCCTGCTTCTCACTTCTCGTCCGCGAACGAAATGTCCGCACACCCCCTCCCCCCCGCTCCTCACTTCTCCGTCCTGCCTAACCAACACTGTAGTTAGTTGTTTACAAGTCATGTGCAGAGCACCGGCTGTAAACAAACCTGTTTCTGGCGTAAAGAGGAGGCGGGAGAAGGCGTTTCTACGTAGGGAGCTGTAGGGGGGGGGGGGGTTTCACGCATGCGCAACATTTGAAAAAGGACAAACAGTCGCTGGATTTCTCGTTCCTTGGAAAATCCTCTATACAACCTTTAAGTGTTTGTGTTAAAACCTGTCTTGTCTGTCTTAAATACATTCAAGGTGCACTACCAAACTTTCTGTTCACCTTCATAGAGATGTTATTGCCTTGTTCTGCACTGCAATTTATCGTGCACTCAGATTCAGATGTTTTCATTTCTCAAAAGTCACTTGAAAGAAAATAATTGGCAAAAGATGAAGTGATATTGATAATAATGATTAATTAGTCACAATTTATCCAATTACTTATGGCAGCCCATAATTAACTTAAATAGTGGCAAGTCTCTGCATGTCCCTGTGTATGTGTGCTTCTCTGCTGGTGTACTGACCGGGCTTTTCTCTCTTCTCTCAGGGACATAAAAAGCAAGAACGTGCTGTTGAAGAACAATCTGACAGCGTGCATCGCAGACTTCGGCCTGGCGCTCAAGTTTGAAGCAGGGAAGTCTGCCGGAGACACCCACGGACAGGTACACAACGGGATACATGGGGACAGAAGATATTTGAGAATAAAAACATGTATAAAAACATCCATTCTTTTGTCGTCAGGTGGGGACGCGGCGGTACATGGCTCCAGAGGTTCTGGAGGGGGCCATAAACTTCCAGAGGGACTCATTCCTGAGGATCGACATGTACGCCTTCGGCCTGGTGCTGTGGGAGCTGGCGTCACGTTGTACGGCTGCTGACGGTGAGTGTCAATAGAAACATGCTCAGTAAATATTAAAGTAGTGAATTATATATAAAAAGGAAATCCACAATTATAGGAACCACATAAGTTGGGTTTGTTGTGACAAAACCAGACATTTATTCAGCTACACTTCACATCTAAAAAAAACCTAAGGTGACTTTATGGTAATAATGACTTGTTTGTGTGTGATGTCCAGGCCCGGTGGACGAGTACATGCTCCCGTTCGAGGAGGAGGTGGGGCAGCACCCGTCTCTGGAGGACATGCAGGAGGTGGTGGTGCATAAGAAGCTCCGGCCTTGTCTGCGCGACTGCTGGCAGAAACACACGGTAATATGTCCAGCTAATGCATCCTTTTCCAGATACTTTACTCTATGAAATCAAGTGGTAGTAGTAGCCTAGTATTTGGAGTATTTATTGTAGTGTTAATAGTAGCTTTAGTTGTAGTACTTTAGCAATAGTTGCAGTGGAATAAGTACTAGACCTAGTGGTAATATTAGGATTATCATATTTTTCGGACTATAAGTCACTCCGGAGTATAAATTACACCAGCCCAAAAATGCATAATGAAGAAGAATAAAATATATATAAGTCACACTTTTTGGGGGAAGTTTATTCTATAAAATCAGAGACTTCCTCTTCTGTGTAGCTGTTGTCAGACTCAGCATCAGTTCCAGTTAGAATTATTCTGGCCTTTCTAAATCCCGACAGGATAATTTCGGTGTCACTGAAGTCCAGGCTTTGTCCATCCATCCAGTGACTTCCAGGAAAGTTTCATGGTGCATCCTCCCAGTGTCACAAGTCTCTTGCTCACACCAAACTTTCTTTCTGCTGCTCGATTCCCACTTTCAGCTGCAGATTTCACGACTTGCAGCAGGACAGCGGCTCTTTCTGCAGGAGACATGCACAGTAGAGCCAAGTGACAGTGGTACAGGAGTAACAGGAGCAACAGATACTGACACACAAGCCTAAAGCCTCTGTCAGTGTGAAAATTCACACAGGAAGTAGATTTATAGTAGTAAATGTAGTTTAGTTGTACTAGTAGTAGTATCTTAGGTCTTGTCATAGCAATATATATGACTGTAGTAGTGGTAGTAGTAGGGTAGTAATAGCTGCAGCTGAAGTACCTATAGCAGGTGTATCTTTTTTTTTTTTTTTTTGGTGGCAGTGGGATTTATTGTGGTAGATTAAGTAGTAGTAGGGTGACCAGATTTTCAACATCAAAAACTGGGACACCCCAGTTTGTGCTGGTTGGTAATAAGTAGTAAGTAATAAGTAAATTGTCAAACGAGTGCATAATTAAGGAAAATTGTTGCACTCGGCCCATTCATGACGAACATGTGAGTCAGTATAGTCACGTTTTCTTTGTGTTTTGGTTGTTTTTCAGCAGCCTTTCTGTATTTTACTGAAATAAATGACAGTTTATGCCTCTCTTTACTGTTAGCAGGGATCAGATTGGTCAAAAATAGGGAGACTTGGTACATTTCTTGTATAAAACTGGGACAAATCAGTGGTTTTGGATAAATCTGCTGGGACAGGGGACACAGGGCTCAAAACTTGTACTGTCCCTTGTAAATAGGGACGTCTGGTCACTCTAGATTATCATAAACATCCCACTGCATCTCACGAACCCACATCTGAACTAGGAGTGTGCAAAAAAATGTATATATCGTATCAATATATCAGCTCACGTATTGATATCGTAGGCTGTTCTGCTGTATTGATATACATCACCAAGAGTATTTTTTGGTATATTTTACTAAATTATTTTGTTACAGCGCTACAGTTTTGTTGTTTGTTCAGAGGAAGGAAACTTGTTTATACGACATATTTGACATTTTCACAGTTTTGATTATTAAAATGTTTGTGTTTGATATTCTCTTTGCACAAGACATGGTTTAACAAAGACTTTTAGTATCACAGCCATGATTTAGCCTTTAATTTTTACCATCGATTTGAAATGTATCGAATCGAAAGTGCGCTGTATCGAGATATGTATCGTATCGGCAACTTCTTAACGATCCCCAGCCCTAACCTGAACCCTCTGTGTCGTCCCAGGGCCTGGCCATGCTGTGCGAGACCGTGGAGGACTGCTGGGACCACGAGGCGGAGGCGCGTCTGTCGGCCGGCTGCGTGGAGGAGCGGATCGGCCAGATGCAGCGGCAGGCCCCCCTCATCGGCCCGGAGGAGATCACCGTCGTCACCATGGTTACCAACGTGGACCTGCCCCCCAAGGAGTCCAGCCTATGATGGAGCTCCCGAAAGAAACGGAAAAAAAAAAAAAAAAAAAAAAAAGAAAAAAAAGGCCCCACCCCCCCCGCCCTGGTTGGCTGGTTTTTAAGTCTTCTCTGAGTGCAGGCCGCAACTTCAGGAAATTGTCATGGCTTCGTACACGGAATCGAACCACCGAACTACCGACTGTAAACCGGAGCGAGGCACTTTTCTCCAAAACTCTCTCCAAAACTATGTACAGATCTCCAGAAGGAAGCGCCCGGCTCCTATTTGCATTTGCTGTTTTTTTTGTGTGCGTCCCCCCCCTCCAAAAAAGACTATCTGCCAATAACAGCTTTTGAATGTCAATAGTGTAATGCTGCTGTACATATTGTAACACAGACACTCGACTCGGAGGGGGGGGGGGGTTCCGACGGGGTCAGCGAGGGGTCAGATGGGGTCAGCGAGGGGTCAGCGGGGAAAGGGAGGGGTGTCCATTCTCAAAAGCATTACGACAATATACGAAAACCATAAACCTCCTTCAACCAGGTTACCTCAGATCTGACGGACAGTAGACTCGCCCCCTCCCCCGGCACCACCACCACCTTCACCACCACCACCACTAACACCACTACTACCGCTGCCCGAAAGCCCGAGCGCTCATGGGTAACGTAGTCCGACGCGGCCCCACTCAGCAGCACCAGAGTTCCTAGCCATCGCTAAACCCCTGGGATTTTTAAACGAGATTTTAATTGTCTTTGCAGTTTTTAGCACTTTTTCAGCCGTTTTCATCAAGTGGCTCGGTCTGGCGTAGTCGGGTCCGGAACCGCCGGGTTTGTAGTTCAATTCCATAAACAAAAAAACAAAAAAAAAACAACAACAAAGAGTGGTCGCTGGTTTTAAAGTTAGCCCACAACAATAATCCTACACACATGTGGATTGAGTTTTCCATCTTGTGAAGTTTAAAGGCGTGCCGTGTAACTTTTCCGGCGTAGGGTAAGGTTTCCACGGAGACGTTACTGCGTTGCTTGGAATGTTCCGCAGTATGGCATTAAACCTATCTATCTCACCTTATTTGATTTAATTATAGGTGTTATTTAGCGCCTCGAATAAGACTCATTCTTACGATATGGGGTCACGTTTCCGTAGATCCGGACTGTAACGTGACCTGGCGATATTACCGGCTTGTATCCACGGCGATAGATGCGTCTAATGTCGTACTGTGGAACATTCCAGGCAAAGACTTAACACAACAAGCAAGCGGCGCACGCTCTACCGGAAATTTTACGAAGATCGTTTTTTACGTTTTTTTGGTTTTTCATCGATTTTGTAAACGCTAATTCAAATCGTGACGAACTCTCGCTTCACATCATCAGGTTAACACATTTATGCAAACAAAGTTCACACAGGTCAAAGGTCACGGAGGGGTGTCATCTTCTTCTTTGGTCTCCTTTGAGGGACTGCGAGCTCTGGTGCAGACTAATACCTGGGATGGTCTTTCAGGTCACAATTCCAATTTATTATTTATTGGTTTTTGAAATTATTCATTCGACAATTGGTGAAGTTCAAAATGAATTCTTAAAAAATTGTAAGAAGTTTTTGTGCCTCAAAGTATATCAAGTATTTAAGTGCAGAGATGCGTAGTATTCAGTTAGATTAAATAAAATTGCACTTCTTATACAAGTTACTTCCTACTTGAGTAACATATTTGACAGAACCCACTTACTTGAGTAAAATTAAAAGTCGAGTTCTAGCCGAAAAGTAAGTAAAGCTAAAATATAACTTTTTGTGGCCTATGTTTTGAAAATATCAGATAGAATTTAAGCATTATTTAAGTTTTTTGTCCTTCCAATTACGGTTAACTTCATTTTGACCATTACTACTTTGTACTTCTACTTGAGAACTATAACAGTACTACATTTTTGGCTGTTCTTCCCACCTCTGTGACGATTTAGAAGAACCAATAAATTGTGTTCTGAGTGACCAACCCGGCCCACCACCATTCAGGGATTCGTACTATGCTTTTTGCGAGTTATATGCAACCAGTGCCGCAAACTCCCCTACTTTTCTGTAGGATGCTGCAGGGGCCACTTTCAATACACACGATTAACTTGTAGCATTTTGGGTTTTTTATCCTTGCATATTGTTGTGGCGTATTTATTTTCTTTTTAAACAGTGCGGTTTGGGTTCCGAGCTCAGGAGCGGCTTTCATTCAGGAAATACTCAAATACAAACTGTACGTGCTTCTATTCTGTGAGGGGACAGAGTGGACTTTACCCGTGGACTATAGGGGGCGCTCTCTGGGGGTCTGTTCCGCGGTCGTGCAGGATCTTTGGGATTGTTTCTTCCTCTCCCGGGACACACTGAGCTGAGGTTGTGTGTCGGAGGACCTCAGGGTGCTCACGGTGCTCGGGTGCTCCCTCTCAGGTTTCAGCCCCGTGGCTCCGGATGGCGGGTGTGTGAATGTACAGGGGTGTGGACTTCCTGGGCCCACGCGGAGCTCCCGGCCGCCTCACAGCTCGGGGTCTCGTCGCCCACTCCGCAGCGGTCTGTACAGAATGACTTTATCACTATTTACTCTGAGCTGATGTGTCCAAGTATGTGTTCTCCTTCAGTGTTTCCTCTACATGCAGACTCACTTCTGACACGGGTGGGGCTTTGGAGCTGTGTTTGGTCTTGGAGCTGGTTCTGAATGGCCCTCTGTGGTGTTTTGCAGGATCCTAGGGGCCACATGTGTGAAAGAGACACTGCAATATGGGACACACAATCATAGACTATACCCACTGACTCTGTCCAAGCCACCTTTGAAAGTGATTTAGAGGAAACATTGAACTGCCACGATTGTATAATGGTTTGGTCGCCAGACCAACAAATATATATATAAATATATATAAAAGAACAAAAAGAATAGAAAACACTACTTTCTGATGTACAAGTCTGTGCACAGCTACAGCACTGACACAGGACGTGCTCCACCCTAAAACAGTCACTAAAAGGAGCCAAATCTCTGCTCAGAGCTGAGATATGCTGCGGTCCCCAGTCACAGCTGAGGGCCCCTGGGTCAGTGCTGAGGCTCTGCTACAGGATCTGGCAATGGTTTGTATCTGCTCAAGTCATCCATGTGATGTAAATAAATGTGTTTTTAGATTGTGATGGTATCTGTGTCTACTGTTTGTTCACCAAACATTCACAGAGTCTGCTCCTTCACATTAAAGGTACTGTATGTAACACTTGGGACGACATGACCTGACTGCACCCCACATATGAGGGAGACATGTTCAAATCAAACGGCTTTTAGTGACCTTGTGTGCTGATTTATTCTTAATAACGAGTTGTTTAAATTTGGTGTTTTGGCTCAAGACAATTTCCAATCAAAGCAAAATGAGCCTCATATGGGTCTCGTTTGGGTTGCCAGTTTGAATGCAGTTGGTATAACCCTTAAAAGGACTTTCTGAATCCTCACTACCTAAACCGCCAATCCTGAATCGCACTGACTCTGTTGCTGCAGTATACACGGTCCATATACTGAGAATGTGAAAACCTCATGTGTCCTCTGTATGCAGGTTATGATTGTAGTACATTTTGTAAAACTAAACTAAAAAGTGCAGGCTACATCCTTTAGTGCAACTAAACACTACAGGTAAATCCTTGCATTGTGGCTGTTGTGATTTGAAGTACTTGGTGAAATCACACAGGACTACCCTCATTACAGCCAGTTGTTTCTGATCACAAACACCTGGCTGTAGGGGCTTAGATATACTCCCAGACCCTACCCTTCCGTCTCACGCTCCCCTTTAGTCCCACTTTAAAATCGTACTTCAAACTGGACATAAAAGTAAGAAAAGAGCAACACGTTATGTTGTTCAAGTAAAAGTGAGCATGTTTTAATATCTTAAACATCTGTGCAACATTGTTCAAATGTTACATCACTGCATGACCTGTAATGTTTCACAATATTTACAAAAAAATCGGCTTACATCAAACCATTAAAAAAGTCCAAACAAGCTGAGGAGAATGGACAGACTATCTCTAGCCCACACAAACCAAAACACCAGCAATCAAGTGCACATCATTCTTCACACAGTATATATTAGAGACAATATATACTTAGTTACCAAATAAAAATACTGACAATGACATGATGAGATTCGAAGAGCACTCACACCTCACACACAAAGGAGAAAGTCATATGGAGCAGAATGAACTTTACCCAAAGAGCTGTTCATGTGTCCGGACCACCCTCGCCCACCCTGCCCATGACCAGACAGTAGCTTCAAATACTAATAAGTACAGTACCTTCTCGATGTCAGATAAGATTAGATTACAATCAGTGACGCCACCACGAAGAAATATTTAGCACAACAAAAAAAAATCTTTTCAGATGTGGACAGTTTGTAGCGTGGCGCGGTGAGGACGTATGAACAGGTGCAACAGGTTATCCAGAAAGTGAGCGGGGATTTCTTCAGTGTTTTAGTGTCCTCTTTTACCCCCCACCCCCCGAACTAAACAGAAGCACAGTACTCAAGACAGAACAGTTTCAAAACATAGAAAGACATACACATATAAGGCTTGAGTTCTCAACTCTTTGTAGTATTATTGCCATCATATTTGTAAAGCTCAAAATAAATATGGAGTACTGTACACAAATAATTTACACGAGTAAACAAAATCCAAAGAAAAGACAAGGCCCCTACATGTGAGTAACTCCTCCTCGGCGTGTCCGGGCCACGTCCAAGCCCAGTTTGTGTAGTGTTTGTGAAGCGGTGGCTTACAGAGCCACACGACATGAGGTCCATCCACCCAAAGACTGCAGCTATAGGGTCTCCAGTCTGTATGTACAAGTATTCAAGTACTCTGTGGGCCAGACAGTAATACTACACATGATATGATGACAACCTTCAGAGCTGTGGTTCAATAGTAAAATGACAGTTGTATTACAAGTGCAGTAGTCTTTGGGTGGACTTTGCAGAAACCCAGTAACAGAGAAGACATGATAGACAGATGTCAGCTGAACTGACTCTGCAGAGGGAACACTTTTCTGGTAAAGTTCATTCTGAGTGACAATGATAAAAGCAGGAGAGGGGGACCTCTACAGGGCACTGTGAGGATGACATGATGCTGTAGTCTTATTCGTCCTATACATGCGGCCGGACAGAACCGCACTCTCAATAGAAACTAACACATTGGTACACTTCTGTTTGTACAATAAAAGATAAAATGTGCATTAGGTACGCTTGTACATGACATTGTACAATATTTACATACAATTCTTAATAGCATGAAATTTCAGGATTATCTATATACATATTGAAAATGTATCAGAAATATTTGGACTGTCTATTTTCTTAAATATGCAAGGTAATGCTCATAGCTTTCCATGTTTTACTATCTTACTAGAAAAAAATAGTTCATTCAGTGAGCTGTAGACAAATTGCAACAGTTTGGGTGTTGTCTCGGGGCCAGACTGTTGTAGCAGCGTCTGCATCAGCCCGTATGTCCGTGTTAGCACCGTGGAGCTGGGCGACAGTCGCTGTTATCTGGAGATCTTCCTCCTCTTGGATTTGGGGAGTTTTAACTGACGCTCCCTCTGCACAAGAACATACGGTGTATGAGTGACACAGGACTACAGACGGGTGTACAGGATGAGGACTACAGACGGGTGTACAGGATGAGGACTACAGACGGGTGTACAGGATGAGGACTACAGACGGGTGTACAGGATGAGGACTACAGACAGGTGTACAGGAGAACTACAGACGGGTGTACAGGAGTAGTAGGAGGACTACAGATGGGTAAAGAAGGACTACGGACAGGTGTAAAAATGCACTACAGACAGGCATAAATAAGGACTACAGACAGGTGTAAAGAGGGGCTTCAAACAGGAGTATAGAAGGACTACAGACAGGTGTAAAGAAAAACTACAGACAGGTACATGAGGACTACAGACAGACGTAAAGACGGACTACAGACAGCCATACTGGAGGAGGACTACAGGCAGGTGTAAAGAAGGACTACAGACAGGACAGCAGACAAGCATACACAGGCATTTAACAAAAAATGGTGCAAACTACAAGACAATACTTACTGTCGCAGACATTTTGTCCAACTCGCTCATGGCCTCGTGGATAGCAGCTTCTAAGTGATTATTGAGTTTTCCCGGCCTGTGAAAGAACATTCACTCATCAGCATAACACTTCTCACGCATTACATTATTTATATTGTGAAATCTTATTTAGAAAGTTATAGTTTCCTTAGTTTAGCTACCCTCTGCTTTGTTTACAACGTGGCAACCTTGGCCCTCTTTCAGTGAGCTTCAGATGAAGTCTCCTGAAACGGTTTTCACTTCCCAAATGTGCCCTGTCAGGGTTCATTAGTGAAATACCAAGTGTGCAAAGCAGTGATCAAAGCAAAAGGTAGCTACTACAAAGAATATCAAACAAATTTGGGTTATTTCACTTTTGTCTATTACATTTCATATCTGTTCACTGTACACTAGAACAATTAATCATGGTAAGGTGTGTTTTGTGTTTTACTGATGTCAACCCCAACTCCCAACTGGAACCATGAAGAGATAGATCTGCCATATAGTTATGCAAATGCAAAATCAATGGCTACATGTCAACTACAATTAAAGTTATTATTATCAATTATGAGAGGTACTTACTTGAGTCCTAGTTTGGCTGCTCGTTCGAGAGCCTCCAAGTCATGTGTTAGTGTTTTAAGTTTCTCTGGCTCTACCTAAAATCAGACAGAAGAGAATCAAGTCTTTAGTCTTGTGGCTGAATCACTATGGAGTGTCTGAATACAGGGCTGTGAAAAGTAGAACAACACTGACCTTGGCCTGTTCCCGCAGCTGCAGTGCTGCTTGTTCGTCCGAGGTCAGTTTGGAGGCCCAGGGGGGGAACCCTTTGAGCCCCCAGACCAACTCTCCCATGTTAAAGGTCCTAGAGCGGTAAAGTGGCTCTGAAGAAGGAGAGTCTGGAGGCCGCAGATCCTCCTCACTGCTCAGGCTTTTGGTGTCCGAGGGGCTGGGGGCCATACCGTTTAGGTGGCCATTGTAGTGGTTGTAGTCTTTGGCCAGAGGCCCCTCCAGACTGGTCGAGGAGCCAGGTGATTGGTCATCCCCGGTCAAGACGTCCCCATAAGGTCTGCTGTTGAAATGGTTGGTAGTTCCATTCAGGGGTGTGTGGTCTAGGCGCTCCTTGTAGTTGGCAGGGCCACGAGTGCAGTTGTTGAAGCGGTAGGCTTCCTCCAGGAAAGCCTTGTTGTGAGTGGGGATCATGCCATGATCGCTGTGGCCCTCTGAGGGGCAGGGAGGGGCTGGGGCCAGGCTAGCAGGACGCTCCACGCAGGGACTGCTCCTGACTTGAGTGGAACACTCCAGAAACTCTTCCCCGCCCCAGCTGCTGCTGTTCTGTGAGTCCAAACCAGGCAAGTGCTGCTCCCTGTCCCATTGGTTCCTGGGAGTCCCCCGGCCAGGGGAGCGAAAGTACTCCCCACTTTCGGGCTCGTTTTTGGGAGCCCTGCGCAGCACCCTGGAGCGGTTATCCCCCTCCTGCCCGTGCAGGACTGCACTCACGGCCTGCGGCAGGTTGACAGGGTCCCCTATGGAAGCAGTGAAGGCACTCATAGCACTGAGGGCAGGGACGGGGCTGGCTTGAGTGGTCCCACTCACAGTGGCCGTGATGGTAACGTGCATGCCTTTGCTGGCAGCGTCCACCACGGCTCTGTAGATGGCATCCACCGCCTCTGGCCCTCCACCAGGACCCCGGTCTGAGCATAGGGCTCCTGAAGGAGGACCCTCGGTTTGAGAGCGCTGGCCCTCAGGAAACTGGCCCTGCTGCATCATCCCCTGCTGTCAACACAAACTCATATTCAAACACTTGGACTGTGACAAACTCAGTATAATGTGTGAGCCGCATACCTGATAGTTCTGGTAGAGGCAGGCCATAGCATCAGCATTGGCACTGTTCTCAGGGTATGAGGGGGTCTCAGAAAAGTGCTGCCCTCTATAGGCCGGGTGCTGCATGTGTGGGTGGGCTGTCTGCTGGAACATGTTGACTCCAGCATTGCCTCCGCTGCTGCTCATATTGGGGTTCACACCAGGAGGAACATGAGGCTGCATTGGCCCCATCCCACAGCGAGACGAC